CACACACACACACACAACACACACACACACACTCTCACAAACACACATCCTATTGATAATAAAGAATTTCTGTGTGTCTTCCATATTAAAAAGAAAACACGCTATTGTGTTCCTCCTTTTCTTCTCCCCGCTAAAAAAATCAAGTTCAAAATCCCGATGTCTGAGTATGCGTAGTTCATAAAGTTGAATAGACTTGCTATCGATCAGGCGGGAAACCCAATCAAAAGGCGGGCTTTAATCACAATTGTAAATGCCAGTGCTTTATTAAGTCCGCTCATCTGGTTCGATCTCCGTCCGTCCCTCAGCTCTCTCAATATAATTACAAAAAATTGCACAGACGTGAGATTTACCTGAGGATGCTCGAAGACGTCGTGGAGGCTCTGCTCTTTCTTTCTTTCTTTCTTTCTTTCGTTCCCGTGTTCTCCGCGAGTTCTCAATACGTGGTTCCTGCAACAGAAAGAATTGCCGGGTCACATCGTGGCTTTTGGCATTCAGTAGATTTTATTTTTACTCAAAAGGAATGAAAATCAACATCAATCAAACGTGCTGAGGGGATATTAGGTGGTTTGTGTTCCTCGTTGCCGTTTGGTTATTTTGATTAGTTGAATAACGGTTTTGCGAAATGGAATAGAAGAAGATACAACAAAACAGGCGTAAATTTAGCTCTGAAAATGGCAGCCAAAGTTTGGTTATTTCCATAGCTTGACAGTCCGCTGAAACTGCAAACGTACTTTTTTTAGCCTTTATTCAATGTTTTTCAGTAAAATTCCATCCAGAAATGTATTTTTAAGATATTTGATATTTGGACGTCCTAGCAAGAAACAAATAACATAATTCATGCTCTTCTAATCCATCTCTTCTTGTAAAATTTGGTTGTCAATGAATCCTCAATAAATGAACTGTCGTAAAATCGAAAAAAACTTCTTCAGGTTTGAGGTTAAAATTCCAGTACAAAAGGCTCGCGGTATCAATAAAACTAAAACAATACAACACTATTCTAGCATTTCAAATTTCGTAAGTCTCTCACAATACTGTTTTACACCGTGGTTGGTTGGCGGGCGTTCTGGTGTGTTTCGCCTTTTTTTTCTACAGAGTCATATTAGTCGGTCGTCCTTATCTTAATACTTCTTTTTTGTATGTTACTCTCTAGTAGCAACTGTAATCTTCGGCATGACCTGTATGACCAATTTGCTGTGCAACTGTCGTGTTATTCATATTATAAACTAAAAATAACCCACACAACTGCATTATGAAAATTGGCAAGTGCCACCAATATAGGAGGTATAGGAGGTGTCAGATAAACAGCAAGCCATGAACGTTAGTAAAGGTCAGACGTTTCCATATAGGGGCCTATACTCGTACATGTTTGTGATATTTTATTACCTGTTTAACACACTAACAAAAAATACATTTCTTTGTGTAGATGAATTTGTGAAAGTATATATATACATGTACATACATATAT